TCTCTCTCTGTATGTGTATGTGGTGGTGGTGGTGTGAAGCGATGGCGGGCCAACAATTTTTTGAATTATTATTATTGTGTGTGAGTCTCTCTCTGTCTGTCCAGGCAGCAGAATTAACGAGGGAGACTGTGGGTGTGGAGAGGGGGGGTGAGAGTCTTGACCCTTCACCACTTGGCATTAAGAACCAATTGCATGATATTTGTCAATGTGGACAAATGATGCCCTTTGGGGGGGGGGGTTTCAAGAGAAAGAAATGACGATTGAATGATTGAATGAATGTCTGTGCTGCCACGAATTAATTCATGTTTGCAGAAACACATTGGATGGTCCATTTTTCGTATATTTTTTCATGAAATCGTGGTTTGATGGCAAGGAACGATTCTTTACCGACGCCCGGTGATGCGATGAATCATCACGATCCTACCGGCGAGAGGGCGGGGTCGTTTATTTGAATCGAGATAATATTTTATCTATTTTATTTTAATTTGGGTTGGTTAATCATCTCGTATGATCGTTGGCTCATTAGTAGCACCGTTTAAATCGGAGTCTTTGCGTTTGCATCAGTTGTGGATAGTCGATACTCAAGCAACAACGCATGATACGAGTCGTGTGTCGTGATGATAACATTTTATTTTAATAGATGTACTTGATGACAAATGCATGCAACAAATACACGAGGATCATCATCGTCTCATCTTTGTACCATAAATGTGCTATCATTGTCCCATCATTCTGCTATATTTGTCTCATCAATGTTTCATCATTCTTTCATCAATGTGTAATCATCGTACTATCTTTGTCTCGTAATTTTCTCATTATTGTCCCATTTTTATCATAACATTGTCCCATTATTGTCCCATAAATGTCTCATAATTGTCCCATCATTGTCCCATTAATGTCTCATCATTGTCCCATTAATGTCTCATCATTGTCCCATTAATGTCTCATCATTGTCCCATTAATGTCTCATCAATGTCTCATGAATGTCTCATCATTGTCCCATTAATGTCACATCATTGTCCCATTAATGTCTCATCATTGTCCCATTAATGTATCATCAATGTCTCATAATTGTCCCATCATTCTCCCATTAATGTCTCATCATTGTCCCTTTAATGTCTCATCATTGTCCCATTAATGTCTGATCATTGTCCCATTAATGTCTCATTATTGTCCCATTAATATCTCATCATTGTCCCATTAATGTCTCATCATTGTCCCATTAATGTCTCATCATTGTCCCATTAATGTCTCATCATTGTCCCATTAATGTCTCATCATTGTCCCATTAATGTCTCATCATTGTCCCATTAATGTCTCATCATTGTCCCATTAATGTCTCATCATTGTCCCATTAATGTCTCATCATTGTCCCATTAATGTCTCATCAATGTCCCATTAATGTCTCATCATTGTCCCATTAATGTCACATCATTGTCCCATTAATGTCTCATCATTGTCCCATTAATGTATCATCAATGTCTCATAATTGTCCCATCATTGTCCCATTAATGTCTCATCATTGTCCCATTAATGTCTCATCATTGTCCCATTAATGTATCATCATTGTCCCATTAATGTCTCATCATTGTCCCATTAATATCTCATCATTGTCCCATTAATGTCTCATCATTGTCCCATTAATGTCTCATCATTGTCCCATTAATGTCTCATCATTGTCCCATTAATGTCTCATCAATGTCCCATTAATGTATCATCATTGTCCCATTAATGTATCATCATTGTCCCATTAATGTCGCATCATTGTCCCATTAATATCTCATCATTGTCCCATTAATGTCTCATCATTGTCCCATTAATGTCTCATCAATGTCCCATTAATGTCTCATCATTGTCCCATTAATGTCTCATCAATGTCCCATTAATGTCTCATCATTATCCCATTAATGTCTCATCATTGTCCCATTAATGTCTCATTATTGTCCCATTAATGTCTCATCATTGTCCCATTAATGTCTCATCAATGTCCCATTAATATCTCATCATTGTCCCATTAATGTCTCATCATTGTCCCATTAATGTCTCATCATTGTCCCATTAATGTCTCATCATTGTCCCATTACTGTCTCATCATTGTCCCATTAATGTCTCATCATTGTCCCATTAATGTCTCATCATTGTCCCATTAATGTCTCATCAATGTCCCATTAATGTCTCATCATTGTCCCATTAATATCTCATAATTGTCCCATTAATGTCTCATTATTGTCCCATTAATGTCTCATCATTGTCCCATTAATGTCTCATCAATGTCCCATTAATATCTCATCATTGTCCCATTAATGTCTCATCAATGTCCCATGAATATCTCATTATTGTCCCATTCACATCTCAGAATTGTCGCATTAATGTCTCATCATTGTCCCATTAATGTCTCATCATTGTCCCATTAATGTTTCATCATTGTCCCATTAATGTCTCATCATTGTCCCATTAATGTCTCATCATTGTCCCATTAATGTCTCATCATTGTCCCATTAATGTCTCATCATTGTCCCATTACTGTCTCATCATTGTCCCATTAATGTCTCATCATTGTCCCATTAATGTCTCATCATTGTCCCATTAATGTCTCATCAATGTCCCATTAATGTCTCATCATTGTCCCATTAATATCTCATAATTGTCCCATTAATGTCTCATCAATGTCCCATTAATGTCTCATCATTGTCCCATTAATGTCTCATCATTGTCCCATTATTGTCTCATCAATGTCCCATTAATGTCTCATCATTGTCCCATTAATGTCTCATCAATGTCCCATTATTGTCTCATCAATGTCCCATTAATGTCTCATCATTGTCCCATCACTGTCTCATCATTGTCCCATCATTGCATTCATCAAACTGCATTGGCAGTGATGCACACACAACAACAACAACAACAACAATTCAACCCATTCATCCAATATCACTGGCCCTACAGAGATAATCAAATATACAATAGGTAACGTTTAGGGAATGACCCTTCTTCATGGCAGAGAGATCAGCAAACAAAATCAGGTTTTCAGAACAGCATAATAAATGCATGGTGTGATGTTTATGGGGTAGGGGTGGGGTGGTGGTCGGGTGTTTAAACCCATACACTGGGTTCATTGATCGATGGCTCAGTGGTTAATCCGGATTAGAAGCGAGGCTTTGGGAGTGGCGTGGATTTGGGTTAAGGAGAAGGGATGGGAGTCAATTGGGTGGGGGTTGGAGGCTTGGATTGGTCGGTGGGATGGGTTGGTAGGTGGTTGGGTTGGTGGTTGGATGGGTGGGGTGGTAGGTATGGTGGGTTGGATTGGTTTGGTGGGTTGGGTTGGTGGGTTGGTTTGGTTAGATGGAGTGGGTTGGGTTGGTGGGTGGATGGATGGGGTCGTAGGTTTGGTGGGTTGGATTGGGTTGGTGGCTTGGGTTGTTGGAGTGGGTTGGGTTGGTGGGTGGGTAGGTTGTTGGGTTGGTGGGTGGATGGGTGGGGTGGTAGGTTTAGTGGGTTGGATTGGGTTGGTGGAGTGGGCTGGGTTGGTGGGTGGGGGACACGTGTCATAATTGGGTGAAGAGGGAGACGGAGAGGAGACAGGGAGGGCGAGGAGAGGGTGGCTCCGGCTTCAAGACAAAGCTTTTCGTATTGGGAGGGGCGACGCAGGGCTGGTAAAATAAATAAAAAACCCAGCCATGACTTTCAATGCAAATTGGATTCAACTCAATGTCCGATCTTTTAACCAGCCGATGGCTTGGGGTCGGGGGGGGGGGGCTGGAATACAACCCACGTGGGTGCTTCAACGTCTCTGTCGTCTGTTGTTGTTGAGAAAGGAGGCTTGGGTCTCCACGGAGTTTGATTTTGCAATGTAGGTCTGTGGCCGGGGAGAGTGAAGGCTGTCTCCGACGTAGGCCAATCAGTTTCACGTACAACGCAAATATTATCAGAGCCATGTTTACTTGCATGTTCAGCACAAGTACTGTGTGTGGGTAATACGGTACTTGATTACTTGCAAAAAAAATGTGTCTATTCGGTGTTTGAACATCTTAACGCCAGAAAAGGGTAAAACCTAGGATTTTTATTTTTTAATATACTTTGATACATTCGAAAAAGAATCTCCCCGTGATGTAGGAATGGGGAGTTGTTCGCCCATGTCCCCAGATGGTGCCGAGGCTTGCCGACTCGGACACTTGGACGGTAGTCGCGATCTCATCGAGCGAGGCGCCCGATTTAAATTGTTTATTTTTGTATTTTTTAATCGATCCACCGTGTCCCCTCGACTGCCTCTCCTCTCTCTCTCTCTCCCCCCTCTCCCTCTGTTCGCACTGAAGCGACAGGAGAGGTGGACACGAGGTACATCGATCTGCGCGTCCCTGGCTCACGAACGAACGCCCCGTCAGGGGGTCGGGGTATTCGGCCACAGCGGCGCTCAGCGGCGGTGACGGCCGAAAGGCTGCGAATTCAGATCCCGCCTCGGGGTTGACTCTCAACCCATCATCCCGAAAGCCGGGGTCGGGGGGGGGGGGGGGTCGATAAATTTGAGTAACCACTTTTACGTGCGAGCCAACCATGAATTGGCTGTCGTAAGGCTCCCCCCCCCTCCCCACCCCTCGACCCGCCACCATGAGTATTTGTGTACCGTACGTTTAAGTGCACCGTTTAACTTCTTTCGCACCGTACGTCGCCGACCACGCTCATCGGAGGTGCGCGGCCGAAGGACAACGAACTAAGGAGAGAAAGAGCAGTTCTGAAGAATTGAGTTTGTCATTCTAGATGTACTTCAAAGTGCGCAGCTCCCAGTGGATTCCTAATATCGGAAGGAAGAACGTTCCAGACGGCCGCAGATGCTGGGACCGTCTATGTTCGATGGGCAGCCAAAAGCCGCCGCCACTGCTTGCGAGGGTTAGCGGAGTTGGCGTGATGATGGGTTTCATGCTCCTTCACGAGATCAGCGAGGGTGTTGTGGTGGCTCGTTTGTGGCGAGATCTTTGTGTGTCATGAGTGCGACCTTAGACGAGATGCCTTCGTTCTGCAATCAAAATGTGAACGTGGAATTTCCACCCATTGGCTTCATTGGCGCTGTAAAAACGCGAGGCAAGCGTCGCTTCGATGGGGGCGGCGTGGTCATCATTCATCAGCAGGTTGTTATTTTTGTTTCACTATTAACTTTTTTTTTTTACCAGGTAAGGTCCACTGAGCTATACAGCTGTTTTTCAGAAGCGACCTGGCCACAAACGATAGCTCATCGAAGTGGCTTATCATCATCATCATCACGTGGATTTGTCTAGCAGCAGTCACATACTCTTTAAAGCGTGATGTTGATTCTGAATGTGGAGGGAAAAACCGGAGGACCCGGAGAAAAATCCACGCGACCACGGGGAGAGAGACACTGCAAACTCCAAATATACAGCAGCAGGCGTCAGGGTCGTGATCGAACCCACGACCTCCTGTAGACCAGGCGAGGTAGTTAACATCTCCTAGCCACCGTGATGGTGATGATGAGAGAGAGAGAAATACAAACTCCAAATATACAGCAGGCGTCAGGGTTGTGTTTGAACTCACGACCTCCTGTATACCAGGCGAGGTAGTTAACATCTCCCAGCCACCGCGACTTTCTCATTGTCGCCCTTCTTCAGCAGGTCCCTCTGAAGGCGATCGAGCGGGAGCTCACGTGCCCCATGTGCAAGGAGCTGTTCGCGACGCCGCTCCTCCTGCCGTGCCACCACAGCGCCTGCCGCGCCTGCATCAAGGACGCGCTGCTGCTGCTGGGACGCGGATCCAGCCCAGGGGGGGCTCCGTTCCAGGTGGGAGAGCGAACGGGGAGATTGGGGGGGTGGGGGGGTGCCGTGTCTAGAAGAGTGGAGCTCACACACAGGCAGGGTGACGGTGTGCAAGGGGTGAGGTCTGTGAGTCTCCCTCTCTCTCACTGTGTCTCACCGTGTTTCGCCGAGTCTCGCTGAATCTCTTGAGTCTGCCAGTGTCTCGTCGAGTCTCCGAGTCTCACTGAGTCTCTCGAGGTTTCGCCGAGGCTCTGCGAGTCTCGTTGAGTCTCTCTGAATCTGTCTGTGTCTCTCTGGGTCTTGCTGAGTCTCTGGGGAGGTATCTGAGTCTCTAAGTGGAAAGTGTCTCCGTGTCTCTCGGAGTTTCTGAATGGAGAGTCTCTTTCTGGGTTTATGAGTTTTTGTGGCGGTGCCTCTGTCTCTGAATAGTTAATCTCCGAGTCTCTAAATAGAGAATCTCTGAGTCTCTGAATAGTTAATCTTTGAGTCTCTGAATAGATAATCTCTGAGTCTCTGAATAGTTAATCTCTGAGTCTCTGAATAGTTAATCTTTGAGTCTCTGAATAGAAAATATCTGAGTCTCTGAATAGTTAATCTTTGAGTCTCTGAATAGAGAATCTCTGAGTCTCTGAATAGAGAATCTCTGAGTCTCTGAATAGTTAATCTCTGAGTCTCTGAATAGAGAATATCTGAGTCTCTGAATAGTTAATCTCTGAGTCTCTGAATAGAGAATCTCTGAGTCTCTGAATAGAGAATCTCTGAGTCTCTGAATAGAGAATCTCTGAGTCTCTGAATAGTTAATCTCTGAGTCTTTGAATAGAGAATCTCTGAGTCTCTGCATAGAGAATCTCTGAGTCTCTGAATAGAGAATCTCTGAGTCTCTGAATAGTTAATCTCTGAGTCTCTGAATAGAGAATCTCTGAGTCTCTGAATAGTTAATCTCTGAGTCTCTGAATAGAGAATCTCTGAGTCTCTGAATAGAGAATCTCTGAGTCTCTAAATAGTTCATCTCTGAGTCTCTGAATAGAGAATCTCTGAGTCTCTGAATAGAGAATCTCTGAGTCTCTAAATAGAGAATCTCTGAGTCTCTGAATAGTTAATCTCTGAGTCTTTGAATAGAGAATCTCTGAGTCTCTGCATAGAGAATCTCTGAGTCTCTGAATAGAGAATCTCTGAGTCTCTGAATAGAGAATCTCTGAGTCTCTGAATAGAGAATATCTGAGTCTCTAAATAGAGAGCATCTGAATCTAACTAGAATTCTAAACATGGAGGCTAAAACTGGAGGACCCGGAGAAAAATCCACGCGACCACAGGGAGAGAGAGAGACACACACACAAACTCCAAATATACAGCAGCAAGGCGTCAGGGTCCAGGGATCGAACCCATGCCCTGCTGCATACCAGGCGAGGCAGCTGCCATCTCCTAGCCACCGTGGCAGCCCTCTGATGACCCCCCCCACCCACCCCCTGCCCCTTGTGCAGGCGCTGGCCCAGGAAGAGCAGCACGGATCGCAGCACTCCTCCCCGGGCCTCACGCCCATCCACAGCCCCCGGGGCCCCAAGTCGCCCGCGCCAGGGCCCTCGCCGTGCAGCCCCGGCTCGGCGGCGTCTCCCGTCGGCCTGGCTGGGCCCCTGCCGCATGGGGACCACGGAGAGCCCAGCAGGGCCCAGCGGCCCGGTCAGTGGGGGCCCCAGAAACACCGAGCGAGCGCCTCCACCCGCGGCCGTTCATCGTTCGTTTACCCCGCGAGCGGGGCCCGGCACATTTTTTTTAAAGTGCGATAAAGAAGGGAAATTGCCCGAAACGTCGGGTATTGTACTTTGTGTGTGTTAGCGTGTGGGGGCGGGGGGGGAGAGCGGTGATGCTTGTGGTTAGCGCGCTGCGCTGCGAACCCGGCGACCCGAGTTCGATTCCCGCTCACGTCCACCACCAACACCGGTGGCGATTTATCTGAACTGGTCCTGGGCTTCCTCCCCTAGGTCGACTCAGCCTCAAATGAGTACCTTGGTGGGGTGTGTAAAATCATCGCCACTGGGGAAACAAAGGCGGCCGGGCCGGTCTTCATAGGTTACTCCTCGCTAACAGCACTTGCCACAACAGTCTGTTGAGGCTATACGGGAAGATATTTGTCTTTGCATTGTCCTTTAAGACCACTGTGTCATTGGTGAATGTTTTGAGTTTTTGCTCAGTGTGTTTGGACACCGCTGCCAACGCAGCAGCAACATTGTCAAAACAAACAAAAGAAACCCACGTGGTTCACCTTCATATACCACAGATGACGATTCTGCCAATCGTCTGCTACGGCTGTTGGCACTGCCTGAAAAATGTCCCACTTATACATACTGCCTATTACGCACAGTTTAAACAATATACATCTCAATTATTGTATTCTTAGTTTTTTCGGTAAAGTCACGTTGAAGAGAAACAACAAAATAATAAAATATATATAAATATATTAAAAATAAATTTATGCAAACCAACACACCTGAAGATGACCGTTTGAGTTATGGTCGAAGCGTCGTGAGAATTTTTTTATTGTTTTATATATATTTTATTATTTTATTGTTTCTCTTCAACGTGACTTTACCGAAAAAACTAAGAATATGAATTACTGCAGTCACGAAAGCTTTAAATCAAAATCTCAATTATTGTTGATAGTAAAGTTGATCTTCGATTATCCGGCTTCCAGCATTATTCGGCCATTCAGGCGAAACCAGCACCGTGTGAGTGGCAAAGCAATACGTCGCTGTGCATGATTTCAGTGTCAGATTTTATATAGAGTACCTTATACACTACTCACAACACTTGATGAAAGTCCTCACACGTATATACATTATTTATGACAAATAACGACAGCAAAACAAACGGAGCGCCGGTCTAAAGGCTGCATCAGTCCGGCGATCATCAAACACTCGGTTGTTGAAACAGGAGCGTAGTCGTTCTACATGCATCACCCCATGCAGAGTCTTCGAGATCATAGTGGTAAGTTCGGTACAGTAAATACATACCTGTCAAGCCGGTATCAGTGCCCTACCTAATTACAGACCAATTCAGACTTTATCGGTCACCCCGTGCCCTTATAAATCTCAACGTTCATCCTATAGACTACACTATATACTACTATACACTACACTATACACTACTATACACTACACTATACACTACACTATACACTACACTATACACTACTATACACTACACTATACACTACACTATACACTCCACTATAAACTACACTACTACATACAGTAGACACATTTTGTGTTGCTCGTATTGAAACGGCTGTACACCGCATGGATCTGACAACTCAATTCCCTTGTAAAAGAATACGGGGTTGACATGTGTGATTTCACATAGTCAACAAAAATGTAAAACACTGAAAAAAGCATACACACAACACCTTGAAAACATAATGGTATTCAGGAATGTGCAAAGATAAGCTATTTCAAATAATGATGATGAGTGATTATCTGGTGTTTTAAAAAATCTGGACACCCCCTTCCCCCCACGAAGTGGCCTGATAATCGATTATCTACCGTACGTGTGATGATGTTTGTTTCTTAACTACAATTCTGAAAAGATGTTCATGGTAGTTTTCACGCTTGGTTCACAATCGATATTTTTTTATTTATAATGGAGGAATCCGATGACCTATGAAGCTCTTTTTTACCCACAGATGTCAAGTAGGGGGCCACGGGGTCAGAATATTATACACACTCAAGACTATATGAAAGAATTAGAGGCGTTAAGATGTTCAAAAACGCAAATAGAAACCTCTTGCAGGGAATCGAGTCTGCGTGAACCACACTCAGCACTTCCGGTGGACATGCAAACAAACGTTGACAATATTCTTAGCTCTTTCGGTAAAGTCACGTTGAAGGAAAACAATAAAATAATAAAATATATAAAACAATTTTATTATTTTGTTGTTTCCCTTCAACGTGACTTTACCGAAAGAGCTAAGAATATGAATGACTGCAGTCACGAAAGCTTTAAATCAAAATTTAAACGTTGTCAATGTTTGCATTGTCTTTGGAACTGATCGGCCTACACCAGGTGAGGTTGTGATACGATTCTCTACGTAGGCAAGCCACGTGAGAGAGCGGCGTCTGCCGGCACCGTCACCACCACACCACTTCTTCTTTCGCATGGATTCATAGCCAGCAGATTCAAGATGTAATTTTAGATGTCGTTATCCGCTCAATTGTCTGTTCAAAAGCAGCGTGGACCATCGTCCGTTCCTTTTTCAAAGGAGCGGCGGCGGCGGCGGAGCGTTTACGATGTGCTGCTTGATGGTTCTTTGAAGGCGCCATTCGTGGCATCGGGTTGCCGCGCCGGCCACGTGGCCCGGCCCCGATTCGGTTGATGGCCGATCTTTGGCGGCGTGGGGCGGTGAAAGCGGGTTGAGGTTCGACGGTCGAGGGTCGCCGCGAGAGACGCTACGTTTCGTGACGTCTGCCGCACCGCGGAACTCTCGCCTCCATCTCTCGCCTTCAATTCGTATTTGCGGCGTCGAGCGAGGCCCCGGCTGTGACCGAGAAAGGGGGGTGGCGTGAAGTTCGGTGGACCGCCGCCGGCTATACACGAGGTGACGCAGCGGGCCCTCGGTAGCGGTAGTCGCACCAGGATGAAGTGATTCATGAAGCTGCCACCAAAAGATGTTGTTCACGAAAGTCATTCTTCACCGGAATATCACTACGGTCGTTACTTTCGCTCGTTTAGCCGGGAAAGCCTGACTTGGGGGACCGATGCCGCTGCTGCCGCGGCTACGCATCATCCCTATTGGCAACAAAAAAAGAAAAAACTCAGCACAAAGCCGTGTGTGACGTTAAAATGAAAACAACAAAAATATAACATGTAATCAAAAGTAAAATTATACCGTTAAAATAATCCCGGAGAGTAGAGATTCAAAACATAACAAATCACCGGCAGCAACAACAGCAACCACCATCCAGCACGACGACAATGACAACGGCGACAGCAGCCACCGCACTGATCTTGACAGGCGCCTACGAAATGGAAGCAACGACTCCCACGGATGATACGAGGACAACCATAACCCATGTGACAAGTCGCGGCGGCGGCCTCCACAGACTGACGGAGACGCGAAGTGACGGGGGCGGAGCGGGCACCGGGGCGGTGGCGGGAGACGGGTGGGAGAGACGCGGGCGGGCGAGTGGGGCGAGTAGCCGTCCACCCACCCCCCCGCGCCCTTCCGCCCCAACTCCACCCCCCACTAAATATTGCGACGCTTCGGCCTCTTGAGGGCCCGCCGGAGCGGCCTCCTCGGCGACACAGCGAGAGAGATCGCTCTGGCGGTACGGGGATTGCTTCGCAAACCCCGTCGTGACGCTGAGCGGTGTCGTCACCTGTCAGTCGGCGAAGGCTTTCACGGACGATACAGGAGGAGGATTTCTCCACAAACTCTGCCTGTCGCCTGATGATGCTGGTTGTAATTACTGGCTGTCACCTGATGATGCTAGTTGTAATTACTGGCTGTAACCTGATGATGCTAGTTGTAATTACTGGCTGTCACCTGATGATGCCAGTTGTAATTACTGGCTGTCACCTGGTGATGCTGGTTGTAATTACTGGCTGTCACCTGATGATGCTGGTTGTAATTACTGGCTGTCACCCAATGATGCTGGTTGTAATTACTGGCTGTCACCTGATGATACTAGTTGTATTTACTGGCTGTCACCTGATGATGCGAGTTGTAATTACTGGCTGTCACTTGATGATGCTGGTTGTATTTACTGGCTGTCACCTGATGATGCTGGTTGTATTTACTGGATGTCATCTGATGATGCTGGTTGTAATTACTGGCTGTCACCCAATGATGCTAGTTGTAATTACTGGCTGTCACCTGATGATGCTGGTTGTATTTACTGGCTGTCACCTGATGATGCTAGTTGTAATTACTGGCTGTCACCTGATGATGCTGGTTGTATTTACTGGCTGTCACCTGATGATGCTGGTTGTAATTACTGGCTGTAACCTGATGATGCTGGTTGTAATTACTGGCTGTCACCTGATAATGCTAGTTGTAATTACTGGCTGTCACCTGATAATGCTAGTTGTAATTACTGGCTATCACCTGATGATGCTGGTTGTATTTACTGGCTGTCACCTGATGATGCTGGTTGTAATTACTGGCTGTAACCTGATGATGCTGGTTGTAATTACTGGCTGTCACCTGATAATGCTAGTTGTAATTACTGGCTGTCACCTGATGATGCTGGTTGTAATTACTGGCTGTCACCTGATGATGCGAGTTGTAATTACTTGCTGTCGCCTGATCATGCTAGTTGTAATTACTGGCTGTCATCTGATGATGCCAGTTGTAATTACTGGCTGTAACCTGATGATGCTAGTTGTAATTACTGGCTGTCACCTGATGATGCTGGTTGTAATTACTGGCTGTCATCTGATGATGCCAGTTGTAATTACTGGCTGTCACCTGATGATGCTAGTTGTAATTACTGGCTGTCACCTGATGATGCTGGTTGTAATTACTGGCTGTCACCTGATGATGCTAGTTTTAATTACTTGCTGTCGCCTGATCATGCTAGTTGTAATTGCTGGCTGTCGCCTGATTATGCTAGTTTTAATTACTTGCTGTCACCTGATGATGCTAGTGATAATTACTGGCGGTTACCTGATGATGTTTGTTGTAATTACTGGCTGTCATCTGATGATGCTTGTAATTACTGGTGTAACGTCGTAGTCGAATTGTAAATGTTGTCATGGGTTTAACTCTCCAACACACCGGTGTGCTGTACTGGTAACGAATTGCCATCACTCTTTGGTTCTTTCTGTAAAGTCATGTAGGTATGAAATAAATTAAATTAAATCACGACGTTTCGATCGCAACACAAGCGCGCCGTCATCAGGTGGAACAGATACAGCAGGAGAACTGCTGGATTTAATTGCCATTGTTTTGTTTACGCGACAAACCTCGCCAATTGGCTGTATCGGGTGGTGTTGACGTGTTTAACGACATTAATATTTGCACATTTATTTTTAAGCGATCTAACCAAAAAAAAATCTCTCTTATGGAGCGATGTGCAGTGTTCACCGCTGCTGCCCCTTCTGATGCTGCTGCCACTTCTTGCAACGACAAAAACAATTTGGGGGAGGTAGGGGGGTTGGCGGTGGAGAAGCGTCAGGGATGAAGCGATCCGCCATCACTCGAGAATAAATACAAATATATATAAATGTAAAATAAAAAAAATATATGTGCTACGTAGGAGTAAGAAAACATGATTGCACGTAGAAGATAACCTGAGGATGCATGCAGTGGTGAGAAGGAAACCACCACTATTTGGACACGTGTTAAGTAGGTTGGACAACAACAGGAATAGTTAAAAGTTGTTGTTCGGACAAATGGAAGGAACCGGACAGAGAGGAAGACCTAACGGAGGATGGGCTTGACGATGACGACGACGTAAGACATCGGGTGCCAGTAAGATGTGGTCACTACTTTGAGCATATTGGCACCACAAGGACAGAGAGATGAAAGCAGAAACAACGAATGGCAAAAATGTACAATGGACACCACCTACTGCTGGCTATGTGTCCATGGATCGTGATGATCGTGGTGATGATGTTGATGATGAAAATGCGTGACGCTGCGTTGGCAGTGGTTCGCAAGCACCAAATAGAAAAAGAGTCGCATCGCCTTTCTCCACGATAATTGCAACGGCCCTTAAAATGTGGCGGGTAAAATTCAACAGGTAATCTTGTCCGCTACGAAGAAGGGCCGGTGTTTAGGAAGAGATGAAGAAATGGCTTTGCAGGAGGCAACGTTACGGACGACGGCCCTTCGGCAAAGCGCGTCGTTTAATGTACCACAAACTTCTGTCGTGGTAATGGCTCTGCATCAGGTTTGACCTCAGGCGTCGCGGTGGCTAGGAGATGTTAACTACCTCGGCTGGTGTACAGGAGGTCGTGGGTTTCGTTCCCAACCCTGACGCCTGCTGCTGCTGCTGTATATTTGGAGTTTGCGTGTCTCTCTCATCATCATCATCATCACGGTGGCGAGGTGTTAACTACCTCGCCTGGTGTACAGGAGGTCGTGGGTTTCGTTCCCGACCCTGACGCCTGCTGCTGTATATTTGGAGTTTGCGGTGTCTCTCTCTCATCATCATCATCATCACGGTGGCGAGGTGTTAACTGCCTCGCCTGGTATACAGGAGGTCGTAGGTTTCGTTCCCAAACCTGACGCCTGCTGCTGTATATTTGGAGTTTGCGGTGTCTCTCTCTCTCTCTCCACGTGGTCGCGCGGATTTTTCTCCGGGTCCTCCTAATTTGTCTCTCCACATTTAGAATAAACATCGCGCGTTTAGAGTATTTTGGCTGCTGTATATTTCCACGCAATGATGATGAGCCACTTCGTTGAGCTATCGTTTGTCATCGCCAGGTCGCGTCTGGAAGAAAAAAAAACAGCTCACATAGCAGCTCACCTTACCTGGTGAAATAAAAACATTTTAGGTTATTAGCTTTAGCTTCAATGTCCCACCGAGACCCTGCTGTTGCTGCTAACGTCAACTCACTGCTCTCTTGTCTTTCTCAGTGCGTCTGACGAGGGAGCGCTCCTTCTGGAAGTCAGGTATCCCTTGCCGACATCTCTCGCTCAGCTCTCAGCGCGCACTCGACGTCTGTCCACCTCCGCCCTGACGTTGCCGCCGCTACGAGCGTGGCGACGCGTAACGATCGTCAACAAAGTCAATACAATACGTGTGCCCACGTCAATTCAGTGAGAACTCTCCGGCGGATGGGGGGGGGGTTGTGACGATGTGACGATGTGACGAGGCTTCGAGGTTTCCACTCGAGCGGCCGGCCCGGTCAATGCTGCGGCTGAGTGCGTTTACAGCAGCCGGCGTGCGCGTGGCCCGTCCAAAGAGCGCCGGCTGATCCACCCAATCGAACTCGGTCGCCAGGCTCGTAGCGCAGCGCTGCTAACCGCTGCACCACCGCTCCCCCTAGGACACACACGAGCACACACACACACACGAGTGCACACACACACACGAGTACACACACACACGAGTACACACACACGAGTACACACACGAGTACACACACACACACGAGTACACACAAACGAGTACACACACACACACACGAGTACACACACACACGAGTACACGCACACACGAGCACACACACACACGAGTACACACACACACGAGTACACACACACACACGAGTACACACACACACACAAGAGTACACACACACGAGTACACACGATTACACACACACACGAGTACACACACACACGAGTACACACACACACAAGAGTACACACACACACACACGAGTACACACACACGAGTACACACACACACGCGCGCGCGAGTACACACGCGGACGCACACGTGGGCACACAGACACACCGGGACACGGCCGCAAGACGCGGGGACACCCACGGTGACCCCTCACAGCTGAGTTCCATAACCTTTCGTCTCAACAATCTCCCCCCACCAACCCTCCCCCCACCAACCCCCCCCCACCAACCCCCCCCACCAACCCCCCCCACCAACCCCCCCCCACCGTCCAGGCTACGCGACGTACCCCGGCCACCGCCGCACCCCGTCGAGCCCGCGCCCGTCCGCCTTCCCGTGCCCCGTGTGCCAGCGCGACGTGGAGCTGGGCGAGCGCGGCCTCGCGTCGCTCTTCCGCAACTTCGCCCTCGAGGGGGTCGTGGAGCGCCACCGGCTGGCGCGGGGGGGCACCATCCCGTGCCAGGCGTGCCGCCCGGCAGCGCCGTCGCGCGCCGCCACCAAGAGCTGCCTCGACTGCAAGAGCAGCTTCTGCAAGGCGTGCTTCAAGCTGCACCACCCGTGGGGAACGCCGCGGGCGCAGCACGAGTTCGTGGCGCCCACCACCAGCTTCAGGCCCAAGGTGAGCGGGTGGGCGGGCATGTGGGTAGGTGGGCGGACGGTCAGGAGGGCAGACGGTCAGGAGGGCAGACGGTCAGGTGGGCAGACGGTCAGGAGGGCAGACGGTCAGGAGGGCAGACGGTCAGGTGGGCAGACGGTCAGGAGGGCAGACGGTCAGGAGGGCAGACGGTCAGGTGGGCAGACGGCCAGGTGGGCAGACGGTCAGGAGGGCAGATGAACAGGTGCGCTTTAAAAAAAAAGAATTATATTAATGCATTATTATTATTATAATCAAGCTTCCTGACACGTGAATGGGGTAAAGGCGTCACATCGCACCGCGCTCACCGTTTGGAGACTCCTGGCTGGGCGTAGCGAGCCGCCTCTGAGGCCTCCTCCTCACCGACACATTCAAGGCCAGGCCTGGCAGTGGTGATGGTGGTGGTGCTGGTGGTGGTGCTGGTGGTGGTTTTGATTGTGATGACAATGGCGCTGGTGGTGCTGGCAGCGGTGGTGGTGGTGATGATGATGGTGCTGGCAGTGTTGGTGGTAGCGGTGATGATCATGACGGTGCTGGCGGTGGTGGTTGCGACGGTGATGACGGTGGCGCTAAATGAACTTCACGGCACGGCGCGTTCCTGGGGCCGGCAGCCAAGGAGGGGAGACGACGCAGAGCGGGATGGGAATGCAGCGTGGAGTGGCCTCGGTCAGCACAAACGAGGGGACCAGCGGCAAATCAATTAATTCCGTTTCACCTTCTCGTGCCCCCCCCCCGCCCCCATTCACCACAGTACCCTGATCTATTCGCCCACTTAGTGCACTGGTCTTGATGCACTGGGCCCCTCTGAGCGCGCGGTTTTGTGATAGATTTCATTTTATTTTCTTGAAGGACTGCGTTGCTAAATCTGACCAATTGAGATGACATTGCAAATTATGGTATTTGATGAAAGATGAGGGGGTGGAGTTCTAGATTTATTTATTTTCTTTATTTGTGATCAAATGGGTGATTCTATCTCTAGGATTTGGGATGATTCGGGTGATTTATAAATCTGGGATTTGGGATGAGATGGGTTGAGAGGGGTGATTCATAAATCTGGGATTTGGGATGAGATGGGAAAAGATGGGTAACTCATAAATCTGGGATTTTGGATGAGATTGGAAGAGATGGGTGATCATAAATCTGGGATTTGGGATGATATGGGATGAGTTGGTCGATCTCTGAAACTAAGATTTGGAAATAACATGATATTAATTATAATTTATATAAAAATTGGCTTTAACTTTAAAGGTGTTCAAACACCAAAAATAAACCTTTTGCAAGGCATAAAGTCTGCATTAACCAAACACAACACTTGTGGCGAAACATGCAAATAAAATATCATTCCTAACTGCAAATTTACGATCCAAACTCCATAATTATTCCAATGTTGGCAATGTGTGTCCAAGGATTTAATACGCCAATTAAGTGTAAACTTAACATATATGCAAAACACGTGTTGTTATTCCAGTTTTTATCTTACAATTGCGCTTTAATTGGCGAACAAATATAAGCTGAGTGGATTATAATTACGATAATCAGAATAATTTTCACTCTTGCGGAATGCTATCGGTCCTATGTGCGCACCCAATTTGAGCTTTGTGCGCTGTGGCACGTGTGTTTGTTGAACTTCTTTCGCGCCGCAAGTAGCCAACCGTGCTCATGGTAGGCGCGTGCCCCATAGGTTAGGGGTCGTCAGCCTACGGCGCCGGATCCGCGTGCGGTGGCTCTTGAAGGACAGCAGCGGCGGATCTTGAATATTCGATCAGGAAATTGGTCTGCTTGTTATTGTGGTTGCCGGTTCACCGTGGGAGTCCAGTTTACCATGAGAGTCCAGTTCACCATGGAAGTCCAGTTCATCATGGGAGTCGAGTTCACCATGGAAGTCCAGTTTATCATGGGAGTCCAGTTCACCATGGGAGTCCAGTTTACCATGGGAGTCCAGTTCACCATGGGAGTCCAGTTCACCATGGAAGTCCAGTTCATCATGGGAGTCGAGTTCACCATGGAAGTCCAGTTTATCATGGGAGTCCAGTTCACCATGGAAGTCCAGTTTACCATGGAAGTCCAGTTTACCATGGGAGTCCAGTTTACCATGGGAGTCCAGTTCACCATGGAAGTCCAGTTTATCATGGGAGTCTAGTTCACCATGGATGTCCAGTTCATCATGGGAGTCGAGTTCACCGTGGGAGTCCAGTTTACCATGGAAGTCCAGTTTACCATGGGAGTCCAGTTCATCATGGGAGTCGAGTTCACCATGGGAGTCCAGTTAATCATGAAAGTCTAGTTCACCATGAAAGTCCAGTTTACCATGGAAGTCTAGTTTACCATGAGAGTCCAGTTCACCATGGGAGTCCAGTATTCACCACCACGGCTCTTGTTGTTGTTGGTTGCCGACACCCCACGTGCCGCTTGTGCTACAGGTGCTGCTGTGTCCGTGGTGAGAGTACGGGCCGAGTGACCGCTTGTGCTACAGGTGCTGCTGTGTCCGTGGTGTGAGTACGGGCCGAGTGACCGCTTGTGCTACAGGTGCTGCTGTGTCCGTGGTGAGAGTACGGGCCGAGTGACCGCTTGTGCTACAGGTGCTGCTGTGTCCGTGGTGTGAGTACGGGCCGAGTGACCGCTTGCGCTGCTTTTGTGCTACAGGTGCTGCTGTGTCCCGAGCACGAGGCGGAGCGGGTGACGGTGTACTGCGAGGTGTGTCGCCGGCCCCTCTGCCACCTGTGCAAGCTGGGAGGGGCGCACGGCAACCACAAGATCTCATCCATCACCAACGCCTACCGCACGCTCAAGGCGAGGCTCGCCAGAGGGCGAACAACAATAAACAACAACATACAACAACAGCAAACAACAACCACAACAATGAACAGCAAACAACACAACAACACAACAGCAACTAAGAAAGAACAACAAACAACTCCCCAGAGGAGGGGACGAGGGGGGGGGGGCACAGTGGTAGAACAAATAAAGACAAAGATCCCCCGTATAGCCTCAACAGATTGTTAGGGCAAGTGCTGTTCGCCAAGTGCCTTGTGAAGGCCGGTACGGCACACGAGGGGGGGTGGGTTGGAACAACACCACCGCCTGGCCGCCTTTGTCTCCCACGTGCTGATGCTTAAATGCACACCGGGTCAGCTGCTCGTTTTTAAGGCTGAGTCGGCCTAGCGGAGGCCCAGCACCGGTTCGGATATTTGTTCTTTGCCGGGATTCGTCGGGCAGTGCAGGGCTAACCACTGTGCCACCGCTCCCTCCCCCTTAGCCTCCTCCCCTGTAAAGGGGAGGAGGCTAAGGCACACTTGAGACACGCTCCACGTTATAAGGGCGCCACGGTGGCTATGAGATGTTAACTACCTCGCCTGGTGTACAGGAGGTCGTGGATTCGATCCTGACCCTGACGCCTGCTGCTGTATATTTGGAGTTTGCGCGTCTCTCTCTCTCATCATCACGGTGGCTAGGAGATGTTAACTACCTCGCCTGGTATACAGGAGGTCGTGGGTTCGATCCCGACCCTGACGCCTGCTGCTGTATATTTGGAGTTTGCGCGTCTCTCTCTCTCTCATCATCATCACGGTGGCTAGGAGATGTTAACTACCTCGCCTGGTATACAGGAGGTCGTGGGTTCGATCCCGACCCTGACCCCTGCTGCTGTATATTTGGAGTTTGCGCGTCTCTCTCTCTCATCATCATCACGGTGGCTAGGAGATGTTAACTACCTCGCCTGGTGTACAGGAGGTCGTGGGTTCGATCCCGACCCTGACGCCTGCTGCTGCATATTTGGAGTTTGTGTGTCTCTCTCTCATCATCATCATCATCACGGTGGCTAGGAGATGTTAACTACCTCGCTGGTGTACAGGAGGTCATGGGTTCGATCCCGACCCTGACGCCTGCTGTATAATTGGAGTTTGCGTGTCTCTCTCATCATCATCACGGTGGCTAGGAGATGTTAACTACCTCGACTGGTATACAGGAGGTCGTGGGTTCGATCCCGACCCTGACGCCTGCTGTGTATTTGGAGTTTGTGTTTCTCTCTCTCTCTCATCATCTTCACGGTGGCTAGGAGATGTTGAGCTATCATTTGGCCAGGTCGCTTCTGTTAAGTTACCTTGCCAGGTCAAAGAGGAAACCGTTTTTAGTTTGTGTTCGTTCATACCGTGGCTAAACCCAACACCGTCCTTCACTCTGCTCATGGAAACGAGATTTACTACGCGCGTACATTAAACCGTCGCTGTGCATCATGGCCAAAGGAATGAATTGCCGATGATGCTGCTGCTGCGTTGGCTGTGGTGGTACACAAACAACAACCTCAACACACTCGTCAATAGAACACTGCGGCCTTGAAATGACATATACATATATAATAGATGACGTTTCGGGCAATGACCCTTCATCATGGCACGTAGATCACGTGCTATGATGAACTGAAACTTTTTTTTTAAAGTTATTTTACCGGATGAGGCCCCACCGATCTAGCTCTGGCGATCGCAAATGATAGCTTAGCGAAGCGGCTGGTTATCGTCATCATCATCATCATTTGGAAATTTATAGCAGCAGCCAGGTCCCCTTAAGCGCGTGGTGATCTTAATTTTAAATGAGGGGACACAAAACCGCAGGACCTGGAGAAAAATCCACGCGACCACAGGGAAAGACAGAGAGAGACTTTTGACTTTAAACAACTTTTATTGCCGCCAGCAGCAACAGCACCGGAGGCGATTCCGATATGAAACACACAAAGTCACCAGCAACACAAATACACAAAGTCACCAGCAACACAAATACACAAAGTCACCAGCAACACAAACACACAAAGTCACCAGCAACACAAATAAAACAATCGCTATAAATCCACGCGCTGTGGCGCTGAATGCACCGCGCCCAACACGAAAGAAAAGTCACGTGGTGGTGGTGGTCATCGCGCACGCCACGGTGACGAGCGAGTGCTTCAGAACGTGAACACGTGGGGGGTGCCGTCCACGCTGGTACAGAGAGGCGCTTGTCCGGCTCCCCAGCGTTCGAAGAAGACGCGCTGCACATCACCGACACGTGTGTGTGGTACATGGCGTGCTCCAGCCGGAGCCGCGCCTTGAGCAGGCCTCTGAACACTGGACAGAGAGAGACAGAGAGAGACAGACAGAGAGAGACAGACAGACAGAGAGAGAGACAGAGAGTGAGACAGACAGAGAGAGAGACAGACAGACAGAGTGAGAGACAGAGAGAGAGAGACAGACAGAGAGAGACAGTCAGAGAGAGAGGGAGACAGAGAGACAGAGAGAGAGAGAGACAGAGAGAGAGACAGACAGAGAGAGAGAGACAGAGAGAGAGACAGACAGACTGCACACATACAGCAGCCGTCAGAGTTGGTATCGGACCCACGGACACCTGCATAGTAGGCGAGGGAGTTAACGTCTCGCCACCGCGGAGCCCCGAACATGATGAAGGGCCATCGCCCGAAACGTCGCCTATGATATATTCATCCTTTTAAGTCCACGCACACACACTTGTTGTTGACGGATGTGTTGACGACGCCGTCATTGTCGTCGTTTGTAGATTGTGCACCACTGCCAACGCAGCGCGTGCGTACGTGGGTACGTGCGTACGTGGGTACGTGCGTACGTGGGTACGTGCGTACGTGCGTACGTACGTACGTGCGTGTGCTGATCTTCTTTCCCACCGTGCGCGTCGCCCACCGAGCCCATCGGAGGTGGGAGCAGTGCAGCCTACGGCCGTGGTCTCACCGCTTTGAAGTCGCGTGCGGGGTGGGGAGGGGGGCTTTCCAAGATGGGCTGCGACTTTTGTGTCCCTGCAGAGGGGAGAGGGGTGGGGGGACCGGTGAGCTGGGCACGCCACGGACGGCCCCGAAGCAATCATTAGGCTCGTGCGGTGCGTTCACGGGCTTAGCGGTAGGGGTTGAAAGCGTCGTCCTGGTGTCTCATTGTCCACCCCCCTCCTCCTCCGCCTCCCCCTACCCCCCGCCACGATTCCGCCGCCAGGACAAACTCTCCAAGAGCATCGCCTACCTCGTGAGCAAGGAGCCCGAGGTGCGTGCTCGCATCGAAGACATCGACGACTGCGTGCGGCAGGTGGAGGTAACGTGGCCTGGGGGCGGGGCAGTGGGGAAGGGGCAGTGGGGAAGGGGCGTTAGGGGCGGCGTCAGAGTTGGCCATTGTCACGCTCCAAATTTTAGTTCCTCATTTGGGATTGTAACGAGCAGCAGCAGCAGCAGCTGCAGTAGCGGCATTGCAACCCACTTCGAAAACTCAGCAGGTCCACAATAGAACATCGCCCTCCCGGTGGCTATGAGACGTTAACTTCCTCGCCTGGCACACAGGAGGTCATGGGTTTGATCCCAACCCTGACGCCTGCTGCTGCTGTATATTTGGAGTCTGCGCGTCTCTTTCCCCGCGGTCGCGTGGATTTTCCCCCGGCTCCTCCGGTTTTTCCCTCCACGTTTAGAATCAACATCATTCGTTTAGAGTATATGGCTGCGGATATGAATTTCCACGTGATGATGATGATGAACCCATTTCGTTGAGTTATCGTTTGTGGCAGGCAGGTCGCTTCTGATGAAGAGCTACATAGCCGCTCACTGGACCCTACCTGGCAAAATAAAACATACTCTTTGGGTCTTTCGGTAAAGTCAAATAGATAGAAAAATATTACATCACGACGTTTCGATCCCAGCACAGGCAATCGTCTTCAGGTGAGAGAGAGAGAGCTACTGAAACAAGGCCTTACGTAGGCCTGAGATGGGTGCAGCCTCAGGGTAAGAGGGCGGGGCTAGAGATGGTCTGCCTGACGCTGTGGAAGTGGTTATTGTATTGTGAGAGATTAGCGTGTCAATGCACGAGCTTAGTATGCCGCAGCATCGGTGAATGTGCGAGAAGGACATCCAGCCCGTCAATACAAAGACATCCAACATAATAATGAAACTCAGAGAGTCAGCTAAAATCGCAGGAAGGATGGAAACATCACAGCAGGTTAAGACTTTACCTGGTTAATCGCGTCCTTCCAATGATTGCTCAATTTGTACCCATCTTCTGGGTTGAAGTTGTGTCTGTGTTCATATATCTGGATGGCTTCATGGACAAATCTTTGATGATAGCAAGTGGGTTTGCATAGTACCTTCGTCTTGGAAAAATCAATTTCACGTGAGCCCACAGCGTTAAAACAATGATCAGCCACGGCCGAGGAATTGGTCCTACCATGTTTAAGATCTGCCTTGAGACTCGGTGAGGCTTTCCCGGGTAAACTAACATCATAGTCGTAGTGATTAACACAGCAGCACGTGGCTTCTGTAGTTGCTCGCTAACAACACTTGCCCCACGAGTCTGTTAAGGTGACACGGGGGGGGGGGGGGGGGGGGGGGGTCTTCGTCTCGTGTGTATACCGCACGAGAAGCGGCAGCGCAGTTGGTTCGCGCGCTGCACGACCCGAGTTCGAGTCACGCTCACGACCAATGACGGTGCCTCCCCTAGGTCGACTCAGCCTAAAAAAACGAGTACCCCTCATTAACCTCCTTCTGTTGCTCTCTCAAAGCCTCACCACCTCTTCCCTATCGCCCATTCCTCTCCCCTCCCGTCGCCCCCTCCGCTCCTTCCCGTCCCTCCCCTGTTGCCCTTCCGTGACCTCCACGTGCCCTCTGCTGTGGTCACTCATTCCTCAACTCCTTTGCGATGGCCATGCCATCTAAACCAGTCGAGGTTTTTGTTACCCGTTTTCAACGATGCAAGGCGCCTTGAGCCATCGGCTCGGGATATAAATTTCACGTGAAATAAGATTGTAGGTGCTGACTAAATGGCCTCGACACGGGGTGGGGGCGGGGGTCTTTGTCTGTGTGTGTGTCAACTTGGGCAGGCGCCTGTCTGTGTCCGCGCTCACACACTCGTCCATGTGTGTGTGCGTGTGATCTCATCGCGGAGCGGTGGCGCAGCGGTTAGCGCGCTGCGCGACGAACCCGAGCCACCCGAGTTAGATTCCCGCTCAAGGTCAACACCGGTGACGGTTATCTGAGCCGGTCCTGGGCCTCCCCCTAGGTCGACTCAGCCTCAAATGAGTACCTGGTACGGTGTGTAAACATCGCTACTAAGGAGACAAAGGTGGCCGGGCGTGGTGTATCTGTAGTGTTGTAAGGACGAGCAGACTTCTTTAGGAGGCACACTCTGTTTATTGTATTATTTCCTTAAACAACGCTTAACACACACAGAGGGATATTCGGTCCCCTCACCCGATACCCTAGGGAGGTACAGCCTCCGGAGCTGGCGGGACTCACACGTCTACCGCTAATCTCCTTGATACCTAAGGAGGTACAACCTCCGGACTTGGCGGGACTCACACGTCTACCGCTATCCTAGTCCTCCGGCTAGGACCTAGGGGAGGCTATCTGACCCACCGCTGGCCCGGTGGGTCCTGACCATTGGGTATGCCGAGCCTTAGCCCTTAGAAGGGTTGGGAGGCTGGTCCAGGGTCCTAGCTAGGCTTCAGCCCAGTCTTCTGTCTTCGTGCAGGGAGAGAACTCCCCGAGGTCCGTTGGGTCACCCGTCTTATACTCCTTCGTGGCCAGGTAGAACCAATCATACATTCCCACGTGGAACCGTCTGATTGGTTCGCACCAAACCCTGGCCACGATCCGTTTCACCTCGACTGACCTCAACCGTTGTACCCAGGGGTAATGCTGCACTGCCCTGGTGGCAATGCAGGTTACGCAACAGCGCGTAGTTAACACCTCTACATATTCATAATAAAGGTTTTTGGGTTAGATCGCGTTTATTTATAAATGTGTCGTAACCCTCCACCACCCGACACGGCCAATCAGCAAAGAAAAGTGTCACGTTGACAAAAGACAAATAATTCACTACTTCAGCCCACCGGTGTGTTGAAGAGTTAATCCACATTTACAGTTTGAGTACGACGTTTCGCTGGTAAATACTTCCAGCATCATCGGGCAATTCGCCAGAATGGTAAAGCCCTCGCTTGCTCCCGGTTTTATATAGAGCAGAAGAGTGACGTCATCACTTAACTCATCAGGTGCAGTGATTAGAGGCGGAGGGGGGGGGGGGTAATGTAATTATATAATCGATTAGTAATCAGTCATTGGTTATGATTAGTAATGAGTTGTAGATTAGTAATTCTTTAAATCAAAATGTAATGTGTATTATTTAATAATACGCTTCCAGGCCGCACTGAGCCGGTAGCTGTCAGAGCGATTAAAGTTATTCTTGTTCCTCTCAATTTCAATGGATTCTCTAATTAGTCTTTGCCAGTAATAATTAGTTTTACACACCACTGCAACATTGTCAAAATCAATTGAGTGTCCTTGTTGACAAGCATGTTCTGCCACTGCCGACAGTTGTGTTTGAGATAATTTAATATTTCTCTGATGTTCTTTTAGTCTTATGCTGATGTTACGTCCCGTCTGCCCAATGTAGCAGCTGCCACATGAACAATTAATCCGATATACACCTTCTGTTGATAGTTTAGGTAATGTGTCTTTAGTGCAAGATACTAGTTTTTGAATTTTGTGTACTGTACCAAATCTTACTGTAATGTTTTGCTTTTGCAAAACGCGGGCTAATTTGTCAGTTACTCCTGAGATATATGGAATTTTTATTGTTTTAACAATCTGGTCGCTTTCAGTAGTATTGCTTTGCGATCGTGATTTGGCATTCAGTGCTCTGTTAATTTGAGCATTATTGTAGCCATTCTGTCGTAGTGCGTCTTTAACGTGTTTAATCTCTCTCACTAGACTCTCACCATCTGACACTGTTTTCGCCCGATGCACGAGCGTCTTAATAAGAGAGGATTTTTGAGCTGGATGATGATGTGATTCTGCATTCAGATAGGCATCAGTGTGCGTTTGCTTTCTGTAAACGCTGTGTGTTATTTTACCGTTTAGGCCATGTCCAAGCAAAATATCTAGGAATGGGAGTGTATTATTCACCTCCATTTCCATGGTGAACTGGATGGCCGGGTTTTGTGCATTGAGATGATTTAGAAAATCATTAAGTGTATCTTTACCATGTGGCCAGACAACCAAAGTGTCATCCACATACCTAAACCAAAAGGATGGTTTTAATGTGCTCGAGGCAAGTGCTCTTATTTCAAAGTTTTCCATGTACAAATTTGCTATAGCAGGGGATAAAGGAGAACCCATTGCTGCTCCTTCCTTTTGTTTAAAGAAATCCCCTCTCCATAAGAAGTAAGTGTTATTTAAGCAATGGCCAGCAAGTTTCTAGACTACATAATAAACAAATCCCTACTGAAACCCAAAAATGTAAAAACAAAACTGTACTGAACTTGACCAACACTGTATTAACCGGTGACATGGTCTCTATCCTTTCTAAAGGCCTTAACTTTGCCGTTACCCCACGCACAATTCCAGTGGATGAGATAATTGCTGAGGTAGAATCAGCAGTTAGACTCCTTCCACATAATGAGGCAGAGATGACTAGACATGAGGTTGCTAAAATAATTGAGAATAACAAAGTTCCAAAAGTAAATATTAGCTCTAACGAGGCAAAAGCCTTAAGAGAGCTGCGTGTAAATAAGGATATCCAAATCCTAGCAGCTGATAAAGGCCGCACTACTGTACTGATGTCACGAGCCGATTATGATAATAAAATTAGAAATTTACTAGAGGAAAGTACCTACATTAAAATTAAACGAGATCCAACTAATACTTTAGAACGTAAGACCACTGCAATAATTGCAAATTCATTAATCCCTAAAAATGAGCAATACCTAATTAAGCCAAGGGCCTCAAAACCACCTAGACTTTATGGGCTACCAAAGATTCATAAAATCGGCATCCCATTACGACCCATAGTCAGCACAATTGGCTCTGCCACATATCAATTAGCAAAATATATAACCAAACAAATACAGCCCTACATCGGTAAGACATCTTCATTCATAAAAAAAAAAATTCAGAACATCTTGTAAATGTGATTAAAGATATTAAACTTACTCCTGATGATATTCTGGTAAGCTTTGATGTGATTTCTCTATTCACTAAGGTTCCAGTGGACGAATCGCTTAAATTACTTGATACACTAGTAAAGAATACCAGTTTACAAAAAGATATTCCGAAACTTGCTGGCCATTGCTTAAATAACACTTACTTCTTATGGAGAGGGGATTTCTTTAAACAAAAGGAAGGAGCAGCAATGGGTTCTCCTTTATCCCCTGCTATAGCAAATTTGTACATGGAAAACTTTGAAATAAGAGCACTTGCCTCGAGCACATTAAAACCATCCTTTTGGTTTAGGTATGTGGATGACACTTTGGTTGTCTGGCCACATGGTAAAGATACACTTAATGATTTTCTAAATCATCTCAATGCACAAAACCCGGCCATCCAGTTCACCATGGAAATGGAGGTGAATAATACACTCCCATTCCTAGATATTTTGCTTGGACATGGCCTAAACGGTAAAATAACACACAGCGTTTACAGAAAGCAAACGCACACTGATGCCTATCTGAATGCAGAATCACATCATCATCCAGCTCAAAAATCCTCTCTTATTAAGACGCTCGTGCATCGGGCGAAAACAGTGTCAGATGGTGAGAGTCTAGTGAGAGAGATTAAACACGTTAAAGACGCACTACGACAGAATGGCTACAATAATGCTCAAATTAACAGAGCACTGAATGCCAAATCACGATCGCAAAGCAATACTACTGAAAGCGACCAGATTGTTAAAACAATAAAAATTCCATATATCTCAGGAGTAACTGACAAATTAGCCCGCGTTTTGCAAAAGCAAAACATTACAGTAAGATTTGGTACAGTACACAAAATTCAAAAACTAGTATCTTGCACTAAAGACGCATTACCTAAACTATCAACAGAAGGTGTATATCGGATTAATTGTTCATGTGGCAGCTGCTACATTGGGCAGACGGGACGTAACATCAGCGTAAGACTAAAAGAACATCAGAGAAATATTAAATTATCTCAAACACAACTGTCGGCAGTGGCAGAACATGCTTGTCAACAAGGACACTCAATTGATTTTGACAATGTTGCAGTGGTGTGTAAAACTAATTATTACTGGCAAAGACTAATTAGAGAATCCATTGAAATTGAGAGGAACAAGAATAACTTTAATCGCTCTGACAGCTACCGGCTCAGTGCGGCCTGGAAGCGTATTATTAAATAATACACATTACATTTTGATTTAAAGAATTACTAATCTACAACTCATTACTAATCATAACCAATGACTGATTACTAATCGATTATATAATTACATTACCCCCCCCCCCCTCCGCCTCTAATCACTGCACCTGATGAGTTAAGTGATGACGTCACTCTTCTGCTCTATATAAAACCGGGAGCAAGCGAGGGCTTTACCATTCTGGCGAATTGCCCGATGATGCTGGAAGTATTTACCAGCGAAACGTCGTACTCAAACTGTAAATGTGGATTAACTCTTCAACACACCGGTGGGCTGAAGTAGTGAATTATTTGTCTTTTGTCAACGTGACACTTTTCTTTGCTGATTGGCCGTGTCGGGTGGTGGAGGGTTACGACACATTTATAAATAAACGCGATCTAACCCAAAAACCTTTATTATGAATAATATTGGTCGCGAAAGCCTACGTGTTAAACTGACCTCTACATATCTAAGTTGAACTTCTTTCGCAACGTACGTATCCAACCGTGATAATCGGAGGTGCAGGGGAAGGACAACAATCTAAAGGCAAAAAGCAGTTCTAAAGAAATTATTTGTAAATCTAGATCATGATTTAAAAGTGCATAGCTCCAGTGGATTTCTATATTGGAAGAAAGAAGAGAGTGTTCCAGACGTCCGCCGAAGTGGATGTGAAAGTGCGCGATGCGGTGATCGTTTTTGTTCGATGGCGAGCCAAAAAAGTTCGATACTGGCCACCCACCCCTCTCGTGTGCCCTGCCGGCCTTCATAGGTGCTGCTTGCTAACAGCACTTGCCCCAACAGCCTGTTCAGGCTATACGGCGGAACTTTGTCTTGTCATAGGTGCTGCTCGCTAACAGCACTTGCCCCAACAGCGTGTTCAGGCTATACGGGGGAACTTTGTCTTGTCATAGGTGCTGCTCGCTAACAGCACTTGCCCCAACAGCCTGTTCAGGCTATACGGGGGAACTTTGTCTTGTCATAGGTGCTGCTCGCTAACAGCACTTGCCCCAACAGCGTGTTCAGGCTATACGGGGGAACTTTGTCTTGTCATAGGTGCTGCTCGCTAACAGCACTTGCCCCAACAGCCTGTTCAGGCTATACGGGGGAACTTTGTCTTGTCATAGGTGCTGCTCGCTAACAGCACTTGCCCCAACAGCCTGTTCAGGCTATACGGGAGGGAACTTTGCCTGTGTCTTGTCATCGGTGCTGCTCGCTAACGGGGAGTGGGTGGTGGAGGATTAACCTTCGCATGTAAGTCGAACTTCTTTCGCACCGTACGTAGCCAACCGCGCTAATCGGAGAGGTGCAAGGGTGGTGGGGGCGGGGGACAAAAATCGTTGCGCAAACATCGACGCCGCTGCCACCCCTCCACCGCTGCCACCCCTCCACCGCTGCCACCCCTCCACCGCTGCCACCCCTCCACCGCTGCCACCCCTCCACCGCTGCCACCCCTCCACCGCTGCCACCCCTCCACCGCTGCCACCCCTCCACCGCTGCCACCCCTCCACCGCTGCCACCCCTCCACCGCTGCCACCCCTCCACCGCTGCCACCCCTCCACCGCTGCCACCCCTCCACCGCTGCCACCCCTCCACCGCTGCCACCCCTCCACCGCTGCCACCCCTCCACCGCTGCCACCCCTCCACCGCTGCCACCCCTCCACCGCTGCCACCCCTCCACCGCAGAAGAGCGGGCGACGGGCGCAGCTCAGCGTGGCGGAGTCCACGACGCTGCTGGGGCGCACCGTGGACGAGCGGCGTCAGGCGCTCGCGCTGGCCGTGAGCGACGGCGTGGAGGGGCGCCTGCGGGCGCTGCGCGAGAGCCTGGCGGAGCACGCGGGCCTCCTCGACGGCCGCGGCCTCGTCGGCTACGCCCAGGAGGTGCTCAAGGAGGCCGACCAGGCGTGCTTCGTGCAGACCGCCAAGCACCTGCACGTGCGGTGAGACGCCCGGCCGGCTCGCTCGCTGGCTGGCTCACTCGCTGGTTCGCTGGCTGACTCACTTGCTGGCTCACGGGCTGGCTCACTCGCTGGCTGGATCAATGGCTGGCTCGTTCGCTGGCTGGCTCACGGGCTGACTGGTTCGCTGGCTGGCTCGCTGGCTAACTCATTAACTGGCTCACGGACTGGCTCACTCGCTGGTTCGCTGGCTGGCTCACGGGCTGACTGGTTCGCTGGCTGGCTCGCTGGCTAACTCATTAACTAGCTCACGGTCTAGCTCACTCGCTGGTTCGCTGGCTGGCTCACGGGCTGACTGGTTTGCTGTGTCGCTGGCTAACTCATTAACTGGCTCATGGGCTGGCTCACTCTCTGGTTCGCTGGCTGGCTCACGGGCTGACTGGTTTGCTGTGTCGCTGGCTAACTCATTAACTGGCTCACGGTCTAGCTCACTCGCTGGTTCGCTGGCTGGCTCACGGGCTGACTGGTTTGCTGTGTCGCTGGCTAACTCATTAACTAGCTCACGATCTGGCTCACTCGCTGGTTCGCTGGCTGGCTCACGGGCTAACTCACACGCTGGCTGGTTCGGTGGCTAACTCACACGCTGGCTGGTTCGGTGGCTAACTCACTCGCTGGCTCACGGGCTGGCTCACTCGCTGGCTGGTTCGGTGGCTAGGTCACTCGCTGGCTCATGGACTAGGTCACTTGCTGGCTTGGTCGTTCGCTCGCTCGCTTGCACGCGCGCACCCCCCTCCCCGCGCCTCCTCTCGATTTGTCCGCCTGCCCAGTCTCGTGCCGACCCCCGTGCCGACCCCCGTTGTCTCCCCCTCCAGGATCTGCCGAGCGTTGGAGTCTCTCAAGAGCCTGGGTCCGCCCGTGGTGGACACCGCCTTCGGAGGCTTCACCCTCGACGTGTCCCGGGAGGCGGAGATGCTCGCCAACCTCTCCTTCCGCAGAGGTGCGACGCTCAGAACAACAACAACAACACAACAATAACAACAACACGCAACAACAACACAACAATAACAACAACACGCAACAACAACAACAACAATAACGTCAACAGCAACGATAACTATAGAGACAAAGGTCCCCCTTGCTGTTAGCGAGCACCTTCACGGTGACCAGAAGGGCGCACGAGGCGGGGGGGAAAGGGCCGGTGGTGTGGTCCACACACCCGGCCGCCTTTGTCTCCCCAGCGATGGTTATGATGCCACTGGGAGCTACGAACTTTTAAATCATCATCATCTTCTTCATCATCATCCGGATTGAAAACGAATTTCTTTAAAAACGACTTTGTGTGTCCGCTAGTTTGTTGTCCTTCCCCCGCAACCTCCCATTAGCAACGGCTGTAAACGTAATCTAGCTTCACTTACTCGGCTTAACTTTTACCAGGTAAGGCCCCCTGAGGAGTGTAGCTCTTTTTCAGAAGCGACCTGGCTATCACAAGTGATAGCCCAATGAAAGTGGCTTGTCATCATCATCGTCATCATCGCGTGGACATGTATAGCAGCAGCCAAACAACTCTAAACGCGCGACGTTGATTCTCAACGTGGAGGAGAAAAACCGGAGGACCCGGAGAAAAATCAACGCGACCACAGGGAGAGAGAGAGACATCGCAAACTCTAAATATACAGCAAGCATCAGGGTCGAGATCAAACCCACGAGCTCCTGTATACCAGGCGTGGTAGTTAACAACTCATAGCCAACGGCTGGGTGATGTTCTAACTGGTCCTGCTGAGTCTCCATTGGTGTTGGACCAGAAGACGCCAAAAGGCGTACAACTCAAAAACAGCACACTATCAGAGTATTGAGGGCTCTGATAGTGCGCTGTTTTTGAGTTGTACGCCTTTTGGCGTCTTCTGGTCCAACACCAGTGGAGACTAGGCTCTAAAGAAAGCCGTCTCGGGTGTGGACCAATCAAATTCAAGGACAGTGCATATCATTATCAGAGTTGTCTTTTTTGTTTGCATTTTGACTGCTTGTGTTGCAGTTATTGCAGACATGATACCTTGAATAAAGGTGTCAGTTTTTTTTTTTGTGCCAGTTAAAAGGGTAAAACCTATTCCTATATCTTGTTACTGGCAAAGGAGGTCTCATAATGGTCCTGCTGAGTTTTCGAAGCGGGATGCAATGCCGCTACTGCAGCTGCTCGTTAACATATCCAAGAGCCACCGTGGCACGATCGTTCGGGACGCGAAATCCGGGCTGCGTTTTGACCAAACCTCACTGTCAAACCCCCCCACCCCCCCCCCCCCACCCCCCCCCCCCCACCCCCCCACACTGGCGCGCAGTTCCAGACGCGCCGACCCTCGACCCTCGCCGCTGCTTCGTCTACAGCCGCTTGGCGCTGTGCTGGACCCTGCCACAGGGCTGCCCGTCGGTGCGCTCCTACCGCCTCGAGTTCCGCCCGCTGGCGCCGGACGGCTCCGGCGCGGCCGGCGCGGGCAACGGAGTGGCGAACCCTCTTCTCGGCGGTGCCGCCGGCGGCGGCGGCGGCGGCGGCGGCGACGTCGGTTCTGAAAGGCCGGCGGTGTGGGTGGACGGAGGGGAGCTGTTCGCCGACGGGGGCGCCCCCCAGGACGCGGGCCCCGAGGACGCGGGGTCGCGCTCCGTGTCAGCGTCTGCGTCGGCGGCGGTGGCGGCGGCGTTTGAGGAGGGGGCGGCCTACGCAGTGCGGGTGCGCGGCGCCAACGAGGTGGGCGCGGGGGCGTGGAGCGACGAGGTCGTGGTGAGGACGCCGCCTGCGCCAGGTGAAGGCCACACCGGTGACGAGGTGGTGGTGGCTGGGCATGCGGGGGCTACATGACCCAGCCAACGCAGCCTTGCCTGCCGGAGGAGCTCACCGATGGGACTTTGCCCAGATCTTTCAAGGATATGTGAACTCTTCACACAATCCAGCCTGGTTAAACCCAGGATGGATTGTAGGCAGGCCAGCCTAAATCTTTCTAACCGGCGAAGATGTTCCGTTAGGGGGGTCCACGTTTCGCAAGCGTAGATAGGAGAGGGCATGACTGTGGCTGAGAAGACCTGAAGCTTGGTGCGGAGCGACAGACCAGGTAGCTTCCACACAGCGTTACGCAACCGATAAACATATTATGCTGCTCGACTGATTCGGAGTTAGACCTCTGCTGTCAAACCGGAACCGATCGTGAGCACAGTGCGCAGGTATGGGAAACTCTCCACTCTCTCCACAACTACCCCATCACCAATTGTGAGTTGTCGGGGTGGAGTGCCCGATAGTACAAAATACCCAGGCAGGTGCTTAATTTTGGTGGGGCTGATGGTAAGGCCCCTCCTCTTAGTGGCAAGCTCCAGGTTCAGCAGCTGTGCCTCCAACTCCTCCTGTGAGTGAGCAGCAATTACCAGATCATCAGCATTCAAGCATTCCATGTGGCCACCCGCAGTGGCTTTTTGATGTTTCTGGAGGAACCCCGAGGGTAAGAATTCAGTCTCCTGGCTCCACCAAATAGGGTTTGGCCAGGGGACGTCATAGACGCCTGTCCCCCCCGGGCCCTCCAGGTACAAACCTCGTTTGATATATTTTTCGTGGTTTAGTGGTAATTTATTGGAAGGTGGAGGGGTTACCAGCCCCGCACACCAATCCAAGCCCCCTTTGGCCGCTGTGGTGGCCATAAACGTCATGAGGGGAATGTCCAATCAAAATTGGCCCTTCCCTCATGGCACTGCTCACCACAGTGTTACCGTCCAGCACCAACGAGGGGGTAGGGGGTTGTTTTGCCGGACACAGGTACATACACGTGGACACACGCCGAGTCAGACACTGGGACCTGGACAGCTGTATTATTTATTATTATTATTAATAATCACCCTCCTCTTCCATCTTCTCCCCTCATTCACCCCCCCCCCCACCTCCCGCCCGCTCCTTCATCTCTCCTTCATCTCTCCTTCATCTCTCCTTCATCTCTCCTTCATCTCTCCATCATCCTTCATCTCCTCATCTCTTCATCTCCATCATCCTTCCCCCTCTGCATCATCGCACCCCACTTCTCATCCCTTCTCCCAATTCCACCCCTTCGACCTCCTCCTCCGCATTCTCCTCCTCATCTCTACTTCTTACCCCCTCCCCCCAAACCCCTCCCCCCAAACCCCTCCCCCCAAACCCCTCCCCCCAAACCCCTCCCCCCAAACCCCTCCCCCCAAACCCCTCCCCCCAAACCCCCCCCCCAAACCCCTCCCCCCAAACCCCTCCCCCCAAACCCCTCCCCCCAAACCCCTCCTCCCCCCCCCCAGTCCTCCGCTTCCGCTTCGACGCGGGCTGCGGCTGCAGCCGCGAGCGTCTGAGCATCAGCAAGGACGGGCTGTGCGCCCGCTCCGTCGCCGGCCTCGCCGCGGTGCTCGCCGCCGAGCGGCCCTCGCCGGCCCCGCCGGCCCCGCCGGCCGTGTGCCTCCCGGTGGACTTCGTGGTGGGCGACGCGCCGCTGGCGGTGCGCGGGCGCGCCTGCTGGGCGCTGCGCGTGCTGCCCGACTCGTTCGTGGTGCGCGTCGGGGTGGTGGCCGAGAGCAAGCTGCACGAGTGGTTCCGCAGCGCCGCCGGCGGTGGCGGCGGCGGCAGCGGCGCTCGCGGGGACGTGCACAGCCCCAGGTGGGAGGGCGTGGGGAGTGGTGGTGCTGTTGTGGTGTGGTGGTGGTGCTGTGGTGCTGTGGTGCTGTGGGAGTGGTGGTGCTGTGGTTGTGGTGCTGTGATGGTGCTGTGGTGCTGTGGTGCTGTGGTGGTGCTGGTGTGGTGGTGGTGCTGTGGTGCTGTGGTGCTGTGGTGGTGCTGTGTTGTGGTGGTGCTGTGGTGGTGCTGTGGTGGTGCTGTGGTGTGGTGGTGTGATGGTGCTGTGGTTGTGCTGTGGCGGTGCTGTGGTGGTGCTGTTGTGCTGTGTTGGTGCTGTGGTGTGGTGGTGCTGTGGTGGTGCTGTGGTGGTGCTGTGGTGTGGTGGTGTGATGGTGCTGTGGTTGTGCTTTGGTGGTGCTGTGGTGGTGCTGTGGTGGTGCTGTTGTGCTGTGGTGGTGCTGTGGTGTGGTGGTGCTGTGGTGGTGCTGTGGTGGTGTGGTGGTGCTGTGGTGGTGCTGTGGTGGTGCTGTGGTGTGGTGGTGTGATGGTGCTGTGGTTGTGCTTTGGTGGTGCTGTGGTGGTGCTGTGGTGGTGCTGTTGTGCTGTGGTGGTGCTGTGGTGTGGTGGTGCTGTGGTGGTGCTGTGGTGGTGCTGTGGTGTGGTGGTGCTGTGATGGTGCTGTGGTGTGGTGGTGCTGTGTTGGTGGTGTGTTGGTGCTGTGGTTGTGCTGTGGTGTGGTGGTGCTGTGGTGGTGCTGTGGTTTGGTAGTTGGATGGCGATGTGGTCGTCATGGAGTGGTGTTGTGGTGGAGTGGTTGGGTGGTGAGGTGGTGTGGTGGTGCTGCTGGTGGTGTGGTAGTTAGGGCGCGGTGTGATGGGGGGGGGGGGGGGGGGTGGTGGTTGGGTGGTGTGTATGTATGATGTTGAACTTATTTTGCACCGTACGTAGCCAACTGTGCTCATCAGAGGTGCGGGGAAAGGACATCAAGCTCAACTAAAAAAAACAGTTCCAAAGAAAAGAGATTGTCAATCTAGGTGATGATTTAAAAGTACGTAACTCCAGTGTCGGAAGAGAGAGCGTTCCAGACGGCCGCAGAAGACCATGCGGTTTGGTGGTGGTGTAGTCATGTGGCGGTGTTGTGGCGGGGTGGGGTTGCAGTCGAGTGGTGGTTGGGTATGGTGGTGCAGTGGTGGAGTGATTTAGTGGTGGGTTGGTGGTGGTAATGAGGAGCAGGGTGAGGAGGAGACGAGGTAGAAGAGGAGAATGGGATGACGATTCTGAAAATGATGAGTATGGTACTCATTAAGTTGACGACGTTGATGATGGTGACTGACGGTGATGACGATATTGATGATGGAGCCCGGTGCATTCGTGGTGCGCGTGGCCGGTCGAGACTGGCAACAGAACGGCAGCCAAAGGCCGCAAAATCGCCCACCTCTCCCCTTGCGCACGGTCCACAGGCTCTCGTACTCGCCCTGCGGCCTCCGGACAGACCCTGACACCACCACCCTCATCCAACAGCGGACAGACCCTGACACCACCACCCTCATCCAGCAGTGGACAGTTCCTGACACCACCACTCTCATCCAGCAGTGGACAGTCCCTGACACCACCACCGTCATCCAGCAGTGGACAGACCCTGACACCTCCACCCTCATCCAACAGCGGACAGACCCTGACACCTCCACCCTCATCCAACAGCGGACAGACCCTGACACCACCACCCTCATCCAACAGCGGACAGACACTGACACCTCCACCCTCATCCAGCAGTGGACAGACCCTGACACCACCACCCTCATCCAGCAGCGGACAGACCCTGACACCACCACCCTCATCCAACAGCGGACAGACCCTGACACCACCACCCTCATCCAGCAGTGGACAGACCCTGACACCACCACCGTCATCCAACAGTGGACAGACCCTGACACCACCACCCTCATCCAACAGTGGACAGTCCCTGACACCACCACCCTCATCCAGCAGCGGACAGACCCTGACACCACCACCCTCATCCAACAGTGGACAGTCCCTGACACCACCACCCTCATCCAGCAGCGAACAGACCCTGACACCACCACCCTCATCCAACAGTGGACAGACCCTGACACCTCCACCCTCATCCAACAGTGGACAGACCCTGACACCACCACTCTCATCCAGCAGTGGAAAGTCCCTGACACCACCACCCTCATCCAGCAATGGACAGACCCTGACACCACCACCCTCATCCAGCAGTGGACAGACTCTGACACCACCACCCTCATCCAGCAGTGGACAGACCCTGACACCACCACCCTCATCCAACAGTGGACAGTCCCTGACACCTCCACCCTCATCCAGCAGTGGACAGACCCTGACACCACCACCCTCATCCAACAGTGGACAGACCCTGACATGACCACCCTCATCCAGCAGTGGACAGACCCTGACACCACCACCATCATCCAGCAGCGGACAGTCCCTGACACCACCACCCTCATCCAGCAGCGGACAGACCCTGACACCGCCACCCTCATCCAACAGTGGACAGACCCTGACACCACCACCCTCATCCAGCAGTGGACAGACCCTGACACCACCACCGTCATCCAGCAGTGGACAGACCCTGACACCACCACCCTCATCCAGCAGTGGACAGACTCTGACACCACCACCCTCATCCAGCAGTGGACAGACCCTGACACCACCACCCTCATCCAACAGTGGACAGTCCCTGACACCTCCACCCTCATCCAGCAGTGGACAGACCCTGACACCACCACCCTCATCCAACAGCGGACAGACCCTGACACCGCCACCCTCATCCAGCAGTGGACAGACCCTGACACCACCACCCTCATCCAGCAGTGGACAGACCCTGACACCACCACCCTCATCCAGCAGTGGACAGACCCTGACACCACCACCCTCATCCAACAGCGGACAGACCCTGACACCACCACCCTCATCCAACAGTGGACAGACCCTGACACCGCCACCCTCATCCAGCAGTGGACAGACCCTGACACCACCACCCTCATCCAGCAGCGGACAGACCCTGACACCACCACTCTCATCCAGCAGTGGACAGACCCTGACACCACCACCCTCATCCAGCAGTGGACAGACCCTGACACCACCACCCTCATCCAGCAGTGGACAGACCCTGACACCACCACCATCATCCACCAGCGGACAGTCCCTGACACCACCACCCTCATCCAGCAGTGGACAGACCCTGACACCACCACCCTCATCCAACAGCGGACAGACCCTGACACCACCACCCTCATGTAGCAGGGGACAGACTCTGACACCGCCACCATCATCCAACAGCGGACAGACCCTGACACCACCACCCTCATCCAACAGCGGACAGACCCTGACACCACCACCTTCATGTAGCAGTGGACAGACCCTGACACTACCACCCTCATCCAACAGTGGACAGACCCTGACACCACCACCCTCATCCAACAGCGGACAGACCCTGACACCGCCACCCTCATCCAGCAGTGGACAGACCCTGACACCACCACCCTCATCCAGCAGTGGACAGACCCTGACACCACCACCTTCATGTAGCAGTGGACAGACCCTGACACCGCCACCCTCATCCAGCAGCGGACAGACCCTGACACCACCACCCTCATCCAACAGCGGACAGACCCTGACACCGCCACCCTCATCCAGCAGTGGACAGACCCTGACACCACCACCCTCATCCAGCAGTGGACAGACCCTGACACCACCACCCTCATCCAGCAGTGGACAGACCCTGACACCACCACCCTCATCCAACAGCGGACAGACCCTGACACCACCACCCTCATCCAACAGTGGACAGACCCTGACACCACCACCCTCATCCAGCAGCGGACAGACCCTGACACCGCCACCCTCATCCAGCAGTGGACAGACCCTGACACCACCACCCTCATCCAACAGCGGACAGACCCTGACACCACCACCCTCATCCAACAGTGGACAGACCCTGACACCACCACCCTCATCCAACAGCGGACAGACCCTGACGCCTCCACCCTCATCCAACAGTGAACAGACCCTGACGCCTCCACCCTCATCCAGCAGCGAACAGACCCTGACACCACCACCCTCATCCAACAGTGGACAGACCCTGACACCACCACCCTCATCCACAGTGGACAGACCCTGACACCACCACCCTCATCCAGCAGTGGACAGTCCCTGACACCACCACCCTCATCCAGCAGCGGACAGACCCTGACACCACCACCCTCATCCAGCAGCGGACAGACCCTGACACCACCACCCTCATCCAACAGTGGACAGACCCTGACACCACCACCCTCATCCAGCAGTGGACAGACCCTGACACCACCACCCTCATCCAACAGTGGACAGACCCTGACACCACCACCCTCATCCAACAGTGGACAGACCCTGACACCACCACCCTCATCCAACAGCGGACAGACCCTGACGCCTCCACCCTCATCCAACAGTGAACAGACCCTGACGCCTCCACCCTCATCCAGCAGCGAACAGACCCTGACACCACCACCCTCATCCAACAGTGGACAGACCCTGACACCACCACCCTCATCCAACAGTGGACAGACCCTGACACCACCACCCTCATCCAGCAGTGGACAGTCCCTGACACCACCACCCTCATCCAGCAGCGGACAGACCCTGACACCACCACCCTCATCCAGCAGCGGACAGACCCTGACACCACCACCCTCATCCAACAGTGGACAGACCCTGACACCACCACCCTCATCCAGCAGTGGACAGACCCTGACACCACCACCCTCATCCAGCAGTGGACAGACCCTGACACCACCACCCTCATCCAGCAGCGGACAGACCCTGACACCACCACCCTCATCCAGCAGTGGACAGTCCCTGACACCACCACCCTCATCCAGCAGCGGACAGACCCTGACACCACCACCCTCATCCAACAGTGGACAGACCCTGACACCTCCACCCTCATCCAATAGTGGACAGACCCTGACACCACCACCCTCATCCAACAGCGAACAGACCCTGACACCACCACCCTCATCCAGCAGCGGACAGACCCTGACACCACCACCCTCATCCAGCAGCGGACAGACCCTGACACCACAACCCTCATCCAACAGCGAACAGACCCTGACACCACCACCCTCATCCAGCAGTGAACAGACCCTGACGCCTCCACCCTCATCCAACAGCGGACAGACCCTGACACCACCACCCTCATCCAACAGCGGACAGACCCTGACACCACCACCCTCATCCAGCAGCGAACAGACCCTGACACCACCACCCTCATCCAACAGTGGACAGACCCTGACACCGCCACCCTCATCCAACAGTGGACAGACCCTGACACCACCACCCTCATCCAACAGCGAACAGTCCCTGACACCGCTGCAATGCCCCCCCCCCTCTCCCCACAACCGCGGCCCCCACCCGCCAGGTACGAGCAGGACAGCGGCCACGACAGCGGCAGCGAGGAGGCTGAGGCGCCCTCCCCCAGTGCGCTGCTCGTGACCGCGGCCGCCGGCAAGCTCCTCCTGCCCCGCGGGCCCCGCGCCGGTGGCGCCTCCGGTTGCTGCCGCGCCGTGGCCCTGCCGGCCGTGCTCGCCGTGGCCGTGGACCGCGAGCGCGGCACGGCCGCCCTGTTCGACGCCTCGGACGGGGCCATGCGGCTGCTGTGGGAGCGGCCCTTCGACTGCTCGTCACCCGTCTACCCGGCCTTCGGCTTCCTGGGCGGCGGGGCCGTGCGCCTGCACCACGCGGCCTTCCAGCGGCCTTGAGGAGATACGAAGGCGGCCGTGGTGGGGGTGGGGGGTGGGGGGTGTCTCACATTGTTACTACTACTGCTACGTACGGCGCTGTCAGATACTTCAAGATGAAAGAGGTCATTATGGTTATAATTGTATTATTAATGCGTAGGCTTTCTCGAACAATATTATTGATAGTGTAAGTTGTTTTTAGGTGGGGGGGGGGGGGGCGAGTTCGCCCGGTGAGGCTGGTGGTTGTTGTTGTTGTTGTAATCGCCAGCGACAAGTCACGATGCTCAAATTGTAACCGTGGTCGAGGGGTGACTCTCCAAAACATAACCGGTGTGTGCCGAAGCGAGTAACTGATTGGCGCGTTTTGTTTACGCGACAAACCTTCACTCGTTGGCTGTGTCGGTTGTCGGTGGGTTCACGACACATTTTATATTTACACAACCTAAACCAAAAGAAAACAACCTTTAATTAAAAAAATAATAGGGTTTTTCCCCCTATTTTCTGGCAACAAAACTGAAACCTTCTTACAAGGATCCATGTCTGCATTAACCACAATACCTGCAGTCAAAATGCAAACAAAAAAAACATACTATGATAATATATGCATTGTCCTTGAAACTGATTGGTCCACACGAAACCAACCTTTATTATGAATATTATCATCATCACCGTCTTTTCAGGAGGCTCCTGCTAAGATATTTTGTTGCAATCTGGAGCGACGATTGCACTACTGTGTGTGTGTTATCCTAATTGATTACATTTTATAATAATCATCATCATCATCACCACGCTTGTTTAACCCAGGAAAAGGCTTTCCAAGTCCCGTGACTCTCTTTTGAAGAGGGTCCTCCCACGTGGCCCAGACGTTGTGTGAGAATCATTGATGAGATTTGAAGTACAAAAAACATACATAAATAATGATTCCTAATTGTACAACTTATTTTTTTTTTACCGTGCCATTCTTAAACATATGTAACTGTTAGCTATGACGCCAACATATATCTAAAGTCTGTGCTGTCCGTTTGCCTGGGTAAAAAGTGCCGGGCGGTGGTGGTTGTGGCGTTGATGGTGGTGGTGGCTGTGGTGGTGGCTGTGGTGGTGGCAGTGGTGGCGGTGGTGGTAACGGCGGCGTTGGTGGTGGTGGTGGTGGCGGTGGTGGTGGTTGCGCTGCTGCACGTGGGCTGCCTTTAATCCGGCAGCATCGTGGAGGAAGCAGCAAGGGTTGGTGGGCGTCGATTAGGAAGCCCGTACCACAGCACGCGAGAAGTTGGTACACCAAAGTGTGGACTAATCGCCATCTGTTGCCATCTGTACGTGGAATGGAGCGTTGCACCCTCGCTCACACGCGTGGGGGTTTCTCCGGCTGCTCCGGTTTCCTTCCCACATGAATAATAAACACAACTCGCGTAATTAATTGGCTGGAAACATCTTAAAAGAAAAATAAATGCAGCAGGACCCTCCTGAAACAAGAGTCCTAAGACTCCTCCTCGTGGCTTTCCCGTATAAATCATTACCATTATTATTATTAAATAAACCATTACCATTATTATTGTCGGTGGCGGTTGTGCGATGCCCTTGGCAAAACCCAGCCCAGCCTGGCAGAAAAGCTGCACAATTTAACGGGGGGGGGGGGGGGTGGCGATGATTTACTGCTCACGGAGCAATGCCAAGCGAGTCATTGGCGGGGGCGTTTTTACAATTTGTCAAATTTGGCATAATTCTAAAAATCACGCTGGCACTACAATGGCCTATATACCCGTACGAATTACCTCGTGGAACCTTTTGATGTCTAATACGAAGCAGACGGTGCGTAGTATTCGTACAGATAAACTGTATACGAAACGATTTTTTTTATTTACCAGGTAAGGCCCAGTGAGCTGTGTATAGCTCTTTTTCAGAAGTAACCTGGCCACCACAAATGACAGTGCTTATCATCATCATCACGTGGAAATTTATAGCAGTAGCCAATTACTCTAAACGCGTGATGTTCATTCTAAATGTGGAGGGAAAACCCGGAGGACCCGCAGAAAAATCCACACGACCACGGGGAGAGAGACATAAAAGCTCCAAATATCCAGGTGTCAGGTTCGGCATTGAATCCACGACATCACGCCACCGTGAGGCTCCAACCACAGCGTTAACCAGGGTGTTCACTGGAGTCGAACTGTACAGCTCTGAAACACATTTTTTTATTCGTAGAGCGCCTTGGCTCAGGGCGATTTGCATAGCTTAATAATCGGTAGCAAAACACTCGACTGGTTTAGATGGCAGGGGCTGCGCAAGAGGTTGAGGAATGGGTGACCGTAGCAGAGGGCACGTGGAGGTCACCACAGGGCTACAGGGTAGAGACAGCTGAGGAGTGGAGGGGCGAGGGGAGGGAAGAGGAAGGGAATGGGGGATAGAGAAGAGGGGGTGAGGCTTTGAGAGAGGAATTAAATGATGTTAAGGAGGACGACTGATTCATGTCCAGGGTCAGTGTTGAGTCTATGGAGAGTGTTGAGTCTATGGGCAGAGCTGAGTCTATGGACAGTGCTGAGTCTATGGACAGTGCTGAGTCTATGGATAGTGCTGAGTGTATGGACAGTGCTGTGTCTATGGGCAGTGCTGAGTCTATGGGCAGTGTTGAGTCTATGGTGCAGTGCTGAGTCTATGGACAGTGCTGAGTCTATGGGCAGTGCTGAGTCTATGGACAGTGCTGAGTCTATGGGCGGTGCTGAGTCTATGGGCAGTGCTGAGTCTATGGGCAGTGTTGAGTCTATGGGCAGTGCTGAGTCTATGGGTAGCGCTGAGTCTATGGACAGTGCTGAGTCTATGGGCAGTGCTGAGTCTATGTGCAGTGCTGAGTCTATGGGCAGTGCTGAGTCTATGGACAGTGCTGAGTCTATGGGCAGCGCTGAGTCTATGGGCAGTGCTGAGTCTATGGGCAGTGCTGAGTCTATGGGCAGTGCTGAGTCTATGGTGCAGTGCTGAGTCTATGGGCCGCGCTGAGTCTATGGGCAGTGCTGAGTCTATGGGCAGTGCTGAGTCTATGGGCAGCGCTGAGTCTATGGGCAGTGCTGAGTCTATGGGCAGTGCTGAGTCTATGGGCAGTGCTGAGTCTATGGGTAGCGCTGAGTCTATGGACAGTGCTGAGTCTATGGGCAGTGCTGAGTCTATGTGCAGTGCTGAGTCTATGGGCAGTGCTGAGTCTATGGACAGTGCTGAGTCTATGGGCAGTGCTGAGTCTATGGGCAGTGCTGAGTCTATGGGCAGTGCTGAGTCTATGGTGCAGTGCTGAGTCTATGGGCCGCGCTGAGTCTATGGGCAGTGCTGAGTCTATGGGCAGTGCTGAGTCTATGGGCAGCGCTGAGTCTATGGGCAGTGCTGAGTCTATGGGCAGTGCTGAGTCTATGGGCAGTGCTGAGTCTATGGGTAGCGCTGAGTCTATGGGCAGTGCTGAGTCTATGGGCAGTGCTGAGTCTATGGTGCAGTTCTGAGTCTATGGGCCGTGCTGAGTCTATGGGCCGTGCTGAGTCTATGTGCAGTGCTGAGTCTATGGACAGCGCTGAGTCTATGGGCAGCGCTGAGTCTATGGACAGTGCTGAGTCTATGGGCAGTGTTGAGTCTATGGGCAGTGCTGAGTCTATGGGCCGTGCTGAGTCTATTGTGCAGTGCTGAGTCTATGGACAGCGCTGAGTCTATGGGCAGCGCTGAGTCTATGGACAGTGCTGAGTCTATGGGCAGTGCTGAGTCTATGGGCAGTGCTGAGTCTATGGGTAGCGCTGAGTCTATGGGCAGTGCTGAGTCTATGGACAGTGCTGAGTCTATGGGCAGTGCTGAGTCTATGGGCAGTGCTGAGTCTATGGTGCAGTGCTGAGTCTATGGGCCGTGCTGAGTCTATGGGCAGTGTTGAGTCTATGGTGCAGTGCTGAGTCTATGGGCGGTGCTGAGTCTATGGGCGGCGCTGAGTCTATGGGCCGTGCTGAGTCTATGGGCCGTGCTGAGTCTATGGGCAGCGCTGAGTCTATGGACAGCGCTGAGTCTATGGGCAGTGTTGCGTCTATGGGCAGTGTTGCGTCTATGGGCAGTGCTGAGTCTATGTGCAGTGTTGAGTCTATGTGCAGTGCTGAGTCTATGGGCAGTGTTGAGTCTATGTGCAGTGCTGCTCAATGTACAGGGGAAGTCGATTCCAGTGGAGGGGTGCGAGGAGGAAGAAAGACGGAAAACGGGGATTGGGGGGTGGAGGCACAGGGAGACGGAGGGAGAGAGAGGCAGAGAGAAAATTTGGAATGAAGAGGACGAGAGGAGGGGGCATGGAAGGAGATGAGAGTGGCGTGGCAAGGCGATGGAGAGGTTTCGAGATTCGCGTAGGGGCTTGCTGGGCGACACGGCTACGAAGGGGGGGGGGGGGACTGCACATTGGACAGGGGAGGCCGGGAGGCCCAGGGGGCCAGGTCGGGACAGTTGAATTCCTTCTCTAGATTGCAAACTCAATATCTTCAGAGCTCCTTGTTGTTGTGTTTCGTTTCTTATTCTTCCTCCCCACACCCCCGCTCCTCCGATGTGCGCGGTTGTCTACGTACGGCGCGAAATAATTTGAACAATGCGAGCAGTCCTCGACTTACGGACACAATGTGCTCCCGATACCCGTTCCTAAGTCTAGTTGGTTCGGAAGTCGAGGCCTGCTCATTTACATCTCGCGGAGGATCGCACAGCTGGACAAATTAGTGCCGCGGTTCAATTTGCAAGTGAGGGTTTTCTTTTTTAAGTCATGGTACGAAAAACATATATATATTTCATGGAAGCTGCTTCGTTAGTCGTGGGTAGTCATAAGTCGAGTGTTCGTAAGTCGAGGTCTGTCTCTCCACATACACACACACACATTGTGCCCGGGAACCCCGTCCCAAGCGCGCATGGCTGCCTGGATAGTCGCCACAACACGGGAGCGTGTTGCCTCGTCTCCAGCATCTTCATCGTGACGCCCAGCACCGAGGAGACGTTTTAGTTGCACTGGCGGAATAGGTGGGGGGTGCTGTGGGGGGGGGGGGGGTGCTGTGGGGGGGTGCTGTGGGGGGGTGGGTGGCTCGAACGTTGTCGACGGCCTCATTGGGGCACGTGGTCTGACGAAGCACGGTGAGTGACATCGATGATGACGGGGGCCGCTGAGCTCGAAGTGCGCCCCGAACGCGAGTCCCAGGAGCCAGCGCCGGAGGGAGCGCGACCGACGACGGAGGGACCCCCCCCCCCCCGGGGAGAGACTTTTAGAAGGCGGTCGTTTACCGCAGAGGCCGTCGACCGGCAAAACAACAATAAAACAACAATAAAACAACAATACAAGCGGGCGTCCTCTGCGTCGCGGGCGCCCTTTGGCGGCTGGGGCACGACAGTCGCGTCGAGGCGGACTGCGGAGAAGGGAAGGGGGGGAGGGGCCTGGTCCGTACTGAGGACCCAGCAGGACGGGGACCGGCCCATCGCCCCGAGGCCCTCCACACCGACGCGAGTGCCTGAGCGCGGCGCTGCGATCCCACACGCGCAGACACGCACACGCACACACGCGCGCACGCGCAGACACGTGCAGATACGCGCACACGCGCCGACACAGCCGTGTTGGGGCGTCTAAACACATTGCACACCACACCCCCTCTCCCGTTTCGGTACTCGATTTAGTCACCGTCTCGTTACGCTGTCTCGTTGCCCCCCCCCTCACCCAATCCAACTCCCCCATTGCGACTCTTTGGCTGCCCCCCCCATCCCCTCCCCCCTGCATTTGCGGGCAACCCGTTTTGTATTTTTCTTAAGAAAAAAAAATACCCCGCCCCGCCCACCCAAACCTTAAAATTGGTAATTTAACGCAACGACGATTGCTTTAAACATGGCAAGGGGATGAATGTGGGTCACTGACGGGGGTCTTTGGTGACGACGACGACGACGAAATACACAACAGCCCAAACTGGATTGTTACAGAACAACTAAGAGGCAGCGGCGGGCGGAGGGGGGGGGCAAAGACGACGTTGTCTCCATCAGCGTGTTTTGTTCATGAAGTCTCACGACGACTGGTGGTGGTTGTCGAGTTTGTGTGCGCGCGGGCTCGGCGTGTGCGGGGCCTCCTCCCGACTATTTTGGTCGGAGACAAAATACAAACGAGAGAGAAACCCCAACACACGTCTCCTCCTCCTTATGAAAGGTTGCTGCCGATTCCCCCCCCTGGGATAGACGATTATTCCTCTTCTTCATCTTCTTCTTCACCTTTTTCATCTTCATCATCTTCCTCATCTTCTTCATATTCTTCATCTTCTTCATCATCTTATTCTTTGTCTTCATCTTCTTCATCATCTCCATCATCTTCTCCTTCATCTTATTCTTACTGCAGGGAGGGATACAAACATTTTGGTTTGCAGGCCGCTGACAAGGTTGCCTCAGTCTCGCGGTCCCGCATTGTGGAGTCAGAGCGGTGCGTGGATATCTGCGAGTGGGGAAAAAGAGCTTCACGGCTCTACGGGTTTCCTCCAGGATAAATATTCTGATTACCGTGAAAATCAATTTTTAAAAATACCACGCGCTGTCTGCTCCACAGTGGACGTTAAAGATCCCGTGAGGTCGTTCGCAAGAGTTGACCCTGTGTGGGTCGGCATCACGGTCCCATTTTTCAAACTAAATTACCCACAAGTAAATAAATTGGAATGCATGGACTCCTCTACTTACGAACATTCTACTTACGAAGTTACAGATATACGAATTAACCTGATCCGTATGTCCAGTTGCCCGTTTGGACCGAGAATCGTAAGTTCAACCGCCGCGCAATAGATGGAGGTGGTGGCATCTACATCTGCAGAACGTGAAGAACCAGTGGCATCTACATCTACAGAACATGAAGAACCAGTGGCATCTACATCTACAGAACGTGAAGAACCAGTGGCATCTACATCTACAGAACATGAAGAACCAGTGGCATCTACATCTACAGAACGTGAAGAACCAGTGGCATCTACATCTACAGAACACGAAGACCCAGTGGCATCTACATCTGCAGAACATGAAGAACCAGTAGCATCTACATCTGCAGAACGTGAAGAACCAGTGGCATCTACATCTACAGAACGTGAAGAACCAGTGGCATCTACATCTACAGAACGTGAAGAACCAGTGGCATCTACATCTACAGAACGTGAAGAACCAGTGGCATCTACATCTACAGAACGTGAAGAACCAGTGGCATCTACATCTACAGAACGTGAAGAACCAGTGGCATCTACATCTACAGAACGTGAAGAACCAGTGGCATTTACATCTACAGAACACGAAGAACCAGTGGCATCTACATCTGCAGAACATGAAGAACCAGTAGCATCTACATCTGCAGAACGTGAAGAACCAGTGGCATCTACATCTACAGAACGTGAAGAACCAGTGGCATCTACATCTACAGAACGTGAAGAACCAGTAGCATCTACATCTGCAGAACGTGAAGAACCAGTGGCATCTACATCTACAGAACATGAAGAACCAGTGGCATCTACATCTACAGAACGTGAAGAACCAGTGGCATCTACATCTACAGAACATGAAGAACCAGTGGCATCTACATCTACAGAACGTGAAGAACCAGTGGCATCT